ATAAAAAGAAGGGACGAAACACTTAAACAGAGGTAGGTAAAACGTTCTTGTCTTTTTAATTGTTTAAATTGCAGTATATGGGGGCGTTCCTTTCATTCACTCAGTGATATAGAAATTCGGTGTCCAATAATTGTATTATTGTCTAAATTTTACAGTATATTAGAGTGTGAACACAAGGTCTCCCAAAAACTCAACTGTTATGCGGAAATGTGAAAATAACCATGAAAATATGAGCAGAAAGTATAACATCTATAGGTTAAAGGCACTTAATTCGACTACCTTGATCCTTTAGCTGTTTAGCATGTGTTATTCATGTCAAAAAATCAACTTAAATTCGTTGACTGAAACTGGGAAGATTCGGCAAAGAGGTATTTGAGCTGGTTTTCCCTGATAGAGTTTCTTACAGTTGACTTATTCCCTGAGGATATTTATTCATACGATTTTGACCACCTCACTTTGGATGAGATTTAAATGTGCATGCCAAATTTACTGTGTTTTCTTTGTTAATCTATAAGGACAACGGAGGGGGCAGTGAGATTCATAAATCTCGAATTAGTTATCCATGCAAAAGTTACCAAATTAGTGTCCAAATAGACGATTCGACGTGATTATGATTTATCATTAGAATTGAAAACAGCAACCTCTGCATGCTGTATAACCATACATTGCTTGACATTTTAAAGGTAGGTACAATTTTGTGGACCATGCAGAGCTTAAACTTTCTACGAAAAATCATTTTCCAACCACACATCCCTACGTATCGCCTTCTTCTGTTATAGCATTTTTGGAAATAACAGTTGCGCAGCCATAAAGAAACTAAAATGGTTGCCGCAAATGAGTACAAGAACATTGGAGACGGCTTGGCATGAAAAGAATTCCCTCGGATATCCTCGGATACAAACAAACGACAATCTCGCTTGTCTAATCAACAAATGTACCGATATGACCACTGAATCTGGCTCTTCCCTCAAATTATGGATGGAACTTCTTACCTTCCTGTACGTTGCTAAGATTCCAGACTCCACTTAAAAAATAAGACCCTGCCAACCATTATAATTCAGCAAAACATGTCGGGAATGATGCCATTAAACGTCCTAAAACTGGAAATCGTCCTGCTAAACCCACTTCCCTGTCTTATCTGATGGTGACATAAGAGGTGCACCCATAAACTTGGAGCGTCCGATGAAATTCTAACCCCACAAGATGATGTTACTTTTAACCGACTCCTAGAGAAGTGTCCACCTCCTTCAAGACCACTACTGCTAGTCCCTGATTCTTCTATAGATTGCATTCCATTATTTGTTGAAAGCAAGGATGTACATCGACGTTCTAGGGGCATTTCAAACAACATTTGGCCAACTAGGCTTTTTTTACTAATTGGTACCTGCTGAACACGATTATCGATGTTGGCACCTCTGAACAGGAAGTTCAGAATTCAAGATGGCGGCCAATTTCCGAAAATGTTGATCTTTTCACTCATGCGACCGATTTTTTCGATCTACGTCACGATAATATAGGTAACTATTGTTTCAACAATAATATAATAGTTTTCTTAGCGGGAGGATGCGTAAAATTAAGAATTACGAAATTCCCAGTTCCCCTTTCCAAAAGGAGGACTTATTGCAAAGCAATTGTTTCTAGCAATCCTGACACATATAAGTATTCCCAACATGCGTTATTCCATAATTCTCACTTATAAAGTTTTGATAACTGCAATCTTTCGAATTTTACGTTAATTTTTAAATCAAATAATTTAAATTCAACTAAACTGCAGTGTTTCGGAAGATTCTTATTTTGCAAGGTATTAATTACCGTTACTCAGGATATATTATTATTATTATTAAAGTATGAAAGCATATAGAAAAGTGAATACAAATTTATTAACATCTTATTCTCATGGTGTTAGGTCAATCGTCTTCTTGAGAGTTAGGTAGTACAAATCAATTGAGCCTTGCGACATTTACAAAGTTTTGACGAGCAATCCTATTGACAACCACAAAGGACGATATCTAGAGCAGCCTTCGGAATTAATCTAACGTTGTGAGAATGGAAATGTAGCCATTTTCAATTCTTTCCTCAGGAAATCAAGGATAGATATGCTAGTCTGAGCGATATTTCAGAATTTATAAGACCAAAAAAGTACCTCTTGTGATTTGCACCTGATATGCCGTAATGATGGAAATGGATGAAATGCTAGAGAAGATTAGATGGAATCCCAAGAGAATGGAGTTCAGAATTGGAGTCTAAAGCTTCGCAGCTCCTGAAACCTGGCAATGCTTCGCCACTCTGGGAAGTCCTACTTGGTTAACCGAGATGGGGCCATGTACGTGCGGATTATTTTAAACGGACGTCTAGTAGCAACTCCACCCTACCGAACAAAGCGTGACGTGTAGCGTCGGTGGAAACTATGGAATCTGCCACCTAAAGAGAAGAAAAGACACCGCCTAAAATATGCGAGCCAAGTCGATACCCTAAACAAGTTAAGTTTCATGCACCTATAGTTATGATACCAACCTTGTATAGTTTTGTCACGAAGATTTTTGCAAAAGATATATCCTCTCGCTTAGGGGTATGGTGCCCAGCGTGAACAGCAAAGAAGGGCGCTTTTGAAACACTCCCTGGTTCACAACCGGGTTCGGATATAGATATTCGTAAATGTCTAGTGGGTTGGGTTGGTAGACCAGCTTTGGCTGGAACCCTCTCTGCTTAAAAATAAAGGTCAAAAATAAATAAACAAAAATGAATGCATCCAAGCGTGGAAATTCACAACAGCAAATGGCGTGACATCACTTCCTGTGATAGCGTAAAAGAACAGGATATTCATTACTACTCCCTTTATCCAGTTCCTCTGCACATCATTGTGTACAGGAACAAAGACTCTCTTTCTTGAAGTACCTACCGGTCCGCAAACAAATTTTGTTTGCCAGTATTTTCTCGAAATGATGAAAAAGCTAGTGAAAAAGCAACATATACATCTGTATCTATACCGTTATCCTAGAATCCGCTTCCTTGTAAAAAGCTTCTAAGGACGAAATCTGTGTCGTCTGACGGTTACAGACAACTTTTCTTTCATCACTGAAGCATCCAGCAATCACCACTACGCCGTCAAATGGGGCCTCTTCAAGGTGAACCGACAAACACTCGATCAGATTTCTTTTGTTTTCCTCTAATGAAAGGAAATTCTTCCAAATGTGAGGTAATGGAACATCTCGGATATTTATCACACGACGCACAGGAACTAAAATGCTTCTCAAAACAGAAATAATTTACTAATTACACGATGTGAAGAAAATTAAACAGTAGCCATAGTACTATGAAAAAAAGGTTTCCACTTTTACTCACTTTGACGTTAGAAAAACTATATGAAATCATTGTTTAAACATTTGTTCACTATTATTATCGTACCGCACTTCCGTCAGGAATAACATTATAATCCGTTTGTAGATCGAAAAAATCGGTCGCATTAGTGAAAAGATCAACATTTTCGGAAATTGGCCGCCATCTTGAATTCTGAACTTCCTGTCCAGATTTCGGGGTGCCAACATCGATATTCGTGTTCACCAGGTCCAAATTAGTAAAAAAACGCCTATTTGGCCAAATGTTGTCTGAAATGCCCCTAGAACTTAAACCGCTGTTTTTTATAAAAGTGAACCAGTCTACTAGAAATATTTAAAAATTATCGAGTTGTATAAAAATGACATTGTGAAAATGATGAACTTACTTGTGGTATGGAGTCTGAAAGTGAAGGTTTAAGAGCAAGCACATACAAAAACTTGAAAAACGATTGTGCACACAGTTATAACCAGACTGTTAAGCAAACAAATGTTTATAGATTTATGACAAACTAAGTGGGTATATGCACTAGAAGCGAAGAACAACAATTATGTTTTGTATTCGAAGAAGAATTTGTTAATGATGTGACAGTTGTTTCGAAAGCTTATACAGAGTGAGCAACAAAGATTGAAGTGTGCCGCTTCAGCTAAATTGGCAATGTGCCGCTCATAGCATATGCTGATTTGATACAAGATACGAAATACGAATAGACGCACGTCACTGTGACAGCGCAGAACGTCATTTTCGTATACAACTCATACAAAGAAGGTAGTTTTGATATTAATAGGAACAAGCGGTGATGACGCACGCTTCAATCATTGTTGCTCACTCTGTACTAGGGAATGTTGTACATAACAAGACTATGAGGGAACATGAATAATAGAAAAGCTGATTGATAAAATAAAGAAAAATCAATCATAGATACTAAAGAAAGACAGATGTTAGTTAATGGTGGGTTTATACAATGATTATCAGATTAGATCATTCAGAAATAGCCAATAGAAACAAACGTTTATTGGGCGTCGCTAACAAACGACATCACACCTTTCTTTCTATTGGCTATTTCTTAAAGACCTAATAATCTAATAATCTCTCATTAAGCATATTTTCATAGGTATGAGAAAATTTGAGTCAGGAACTTGAATATGTCCGATGAATTTGAGAGGGTGTGGAACGGTTTATAATTATGTGTGGCAATGGCATTCTTTAAATTATAAACATTTTTCATGTAGACTAGATTTGTAAGTAATGTAAACTGAATGCCGTAACTAAAACCATAAAAAGTTGTAAGTGCAGTTTTAAACAAAGCCATTTTCAATCCGTCCAAGAATATCAACAGCGTTACAATCACTCAATCGCTTATGATAAAGCAGACATCCGCAGTTATCCAATGTTGATGGGAGATCTGGAATGTTTTTATCTAACGCAAATCAGAGAATGGCCGGTCAGATAGATTTATTCATTCTAATCTTTTTTTTTAACTTATGGTATTTTAGAAAAGATGACTCAATATATGAGTCAAAATTGCAGAAATTATGGCACTCAAAGCAGACGCAAGTAGGTAGACCTATAGTTGTATCTCGTGTCTTGAAGAGCGCTCTCTTGCAAACCGGCAAAAAATTGACGATATAAAGAAGACATGCAATTATAATAAACGAAAGTACCTAGTAATTTCTGAGGACACCAACACTAAAACTGGAAGTTCTACACGACTTACAACGCTGTTCCGTATTAACATATTATGTGTAGCTTTGAATGGCGAATAAAGAAAAACAGTAGGTAGGTAGATTGTAATGAAGCAACTTCACTAAAGATATATGGACTCACAAATACAACATCGTTATGTGGAGTCCGCCGAAAATTACACATTTGAAAATTTGAAATTGAAACTGCTGTGTTTATAGGAAAACTTTTTGACACGGGCGCATAGATACCTACAGAAGATTTTGTCGAGGAATAACTTTTCGATGGACAAAGTTTGAAAATCGGTCTGTCGACAAAGTGTCTTCAGAACACACCTTTTCAATTAGAAAATGGCTTTATTCCATTATTAGGTATACAAACTATTTCCAAAAAAGAAGAATATAAAATAGTTTTTAAATAAATATTTATGATATTTCCTTTATTTGAAACGATAACGTCTATACGTACGGAAAATGTTGTTCAACTAAGGGCGTAGGCCTAAAAGCGGCACATAACTGAAACGTTTCCTGATTAAAAACCGTCTATAAGGTTGGAAACTTCAATTTTTTAATTATTTAACGTGCTTTATATATTTTAACGAATATAATTTTGGTATTTGTCAGAAAAACGTGTTGGTCTGAACCACTGGGGAAGGGATGGAAGATTCCATTTCCAGCTACTACGCAGTAGTTGATGGATTGTGCACGAATTTACAAGGAAATTAGTTGTGTTACTCATTAGACATCAGTAATGCGAGTGTAGCTTTCTGTTCAGTTTTAAACAGTCCAATGCAAGACACCATATTTTAGTCCAGAGGTTCGCCTCAAAAGCTAAACGCATATATGACTACAAAAAGGAAGAAAGAAAAACATAAATATAAAGGTAAAAACTTCCTATCTTTTCAATTGATTAAGTCCAATGTTGAGGCATATTGCTGTTAAGGATTTTACTTTGTATTATAAACATAAGATGTCCTATAATTATTGTGTTATTGTCCAAATTTCATACTCCATTAGGGTAAAGAATGAACCCACTTCACTCCCAAAATACACTCTTTGCGCTTCTCCTTTTCTATTAAACAATCTGTACGGAACTAAGTTATGCACAATTGGATTCATTGCGGGAACAGAAACCTCGGTAGACAACGAAAGTTTGCTAAATGGTTGTTCATGTCAGAAAACTGAACACAGGTTCGTTTATCTAACCGAGAACTCGAAAAGGGTCTGCAAAGAGACACCTGCAATGGATTTTTCTTGTTTTTTTTACCGTTTGTCCGCCGAACTACCCCAATTCATCATCTGGAGGTAATCGAACCCCATTCCCTAAGAAAAAATGATTGAAAAATAAAAGTGAGAGAATAATGAGGTTTGAATAGGCATTCCCGCGAAAAAGATGATATATTGGTCATAGTGATGTTGATATTTGCAGTGCGGACACGATGACCGTTTTAGATAAGAACAGAAACCTGATGACCTGGACAGAACACAATACATCCCTTTTAGGAGGAGGTGTAAATGTACATGCCAAGTTATTGATTTGTAACTCTGAAAGAGTAAAGGAAAGGGCTGTCAGATTCACAAACCTGGAATTCGTTTCCTAGGGAAAAAGTAGAAAAAAATCGTGCTTCGTGCCTGTTAGTGCTCAATAGACGGTTTCAACATGATTACCTATGAGTTAACGACATAATTCGAAACCTTTGTGTTGATGAACTACCTAGCACTGTAGGATTTACTTCGACAGCACTTTCTGGGAAGAAAACAATTTTGAACACGTGTAGCACTCAACAATTTTTTACATGCAAAATTTTGGTACCATACTCGACCTAGCGAAGTTATTTAAATTTGCACACGAAATCATTCCAAAACAGGATACACATCTTGCATTTTTCTGTCAATTTTACAAGTAAAGGTTGCACTGTTATAAAGAAATTGAAATGATATATATATATTGACCCATTTACTGCAAGGGTGAAGGGCATCGCAAAAAATGACATAAACGGATATGCGTAATATCCCAGCCAACACACTTACGTTTAATAAACGGTTTTAAAGCGTTTTGAAAGGATAAATTCGGTATTGGTAGTGTATGGTGTACGTTTTTTTGTAGACCAATTTTATACCCTATGTTTAAAATACGATTTTTGTTCGTATATACCGAAACTGATTGTGGAAAAATCACTATTCTGGTTCTACTTGATTATTCTAAGGAATTTGACATAGTAAGCCATCAAGTGCTCAATACAATATTGAAATTCGTCGGACTGGATTATAATGCTTTAAAGCTTATACGTATATAATTACCTGAGTGATTGATGCCAAAGAGTAACTCTAAATAGAGTGGACTCCGAGCTTATGACTGTGTCTAGAGGTGTTCCGCAAGGTTCCATATTAGGACCCTTGTTATACACAGTTTATACATTTAATTTGTTGACAGGACTAAAACACTGTAAATACCATCTCTATATGCGGACGATACCCAGTTGTATTACTTTTTTACAAGAACTGAACTAGAAACCTCTTTGGCATGTATCAATGATCTATAAAATGTACACAAGGCATCGGAAGATCATTCGTTAATAATTAACCCTGCAAAATCGTGTTTTATAGTGTTCGGTGATGACAACATCGGCATACACAATAAAATTGCATTAAAAATTGGCAATGACTCAATTCCATCGGTGAAGTGGGTAAAAAATCTTGGTCTGCTTATTGATTGTAAATTAAGATTTACCCAGCACATCGACAACCTTATTGCTTCGGCCTACGGACAATTGAGGAGTCTTTACTCAAGTCGTCATGTTCTTGGTACCAAACACAAGGCTGTTCTCTGTGACTCGTCGGTTCTATTGCGATGTTTTGTATGATCCATGTTTGTTAGTTAAAGACCGTGACCGAATTCAGCGAGTACATGCTTACGTTTCGTGTTCGGTATCAGGAAATATGACAGAATTTCGCACACCTTACCTCGACTTGATTGGTTGAATATGTTGGAAAGAAGACGACTGCATGCTTCGTCACTTTCTAGAAAAGTTTTAACTCATAAGATGCCACCGTACCTGTACGATAAAATCACCTCCCGGACCGATGTGCATCATTTAAGTCTGAGGCACAGGGGTTTAGCTTCCATCCCTAATGCACAATTTAGCAATGTTTCAACGTTTTTTTTCATTTAACATCTGCAAATTCTGTAATAATTCGGTGTGACAGTTATTGCCCCTGCCCGAAGATGCCTTTAAACGGAAAATTAAAAAATTATTAATAAGAGAGCGAAATTTAACATAATTTAACATAATTACTGTTTTGTTTTTTTTTCCTTTGTTGGTAGGTAGTTACTTAGTAGATTTGTGCTTGTTTTCAATTAAAATTGAACTCTGATAATTGTTTTATTTCGTAGAATCTACGTGTATAAATATATGCTTTATATGTGTCTAGGGGTACAGGGGGAAGAACAGATAACCTACTGGTTTATCTGACCCTGAACCTATTGATTATGGTGTAGGAAGCATTTTTTTCCTAATCAATAAAAACCATTATTATTATTAAATTTCATTCTTCAACCTAAATCAGAATTATCCAATGTTATTTTACCTGAAACCGTCAAGAAAATCTAAATTTCAGGTCTATTTTGACATTAGAAAGTTGATCTTTACCTGACTAGTACTGTAATATCTTTGCCTGATGCCCATTACAGTCCTAGTACATGCAAAATAACAATTAGATCATTCATTGAATAAGTTATTCAATCAACGATTGGATAATTATAATGCAGACGATGTGGATATTTTTAAATATTAATATAACCACAGACAACATATGTCTGTGATATAACTACACAAAGGATAATGGTTTTTTAATTACTAACAATTAATGGAATATGTGTGGAAATAATTATTCTTTTAGTTTTGCGCCAGTCATTAAAAGGTTTGTACGCCTTTTTGTATCTCTTTCTTGACTTTGTGGGGAGCGAATATTGCACTACGGCGGCCGTAGCTTCGGCTACATTATAACAATGTCTCGCGTAGGTACCTACTCTTCTTCACTGATATCTGCTTTTGTATCTAAGACTGTATAGTTGAAAAGTACAAAGCATAAACTGCAAACTGCACTAAAAATGACACTGATTGTTTTAATTATTTTGAAATCTCTATGGAAAAAAAATAAAGTGATTTTAGCATGCGTGATTAGGTATCAAAATTTCACACATATGAATAATTTAAGTTGGAAAAGTTATCTACATGTTGCGGTTTCGGGTAAAATTTTATACATAATATGTCATGAAAGTGAGTCCACCTGTCTTGGAAGCATTAAAGAGATACTCGGACGCTGCGCGTCATGTAAACGACCACTTTCATATCTTATTATGTAAATAACTATTAATCTATAAATGTGTCACTGTCACATTTTTTACGGACTGTACACGCCTGCGTAGTGCGTTGTAGGTATTGGTCACGGTGTAAGAATAAGACCGTGGTATTGGCTTAAGGTTTTCCCGCCACGAATTTTTTTAATTAGTTCGCATATTTTCCGAGGGACTTGTTTGCTTGGTGGCTGTAGAGGGAAAGAGTGTCATGTATTGGAGGGCGTGTGGGCAACGCAGCGTCGTCGCGTGTAATAGAAGAAATTTCCTCTATGGTATTAATAAAGCGTGTGGTAGTACAACTCTAATTCTTATTGATAAATTCGGATACGCTTTCTGTTATTCCGATAAAAGCAAAAAAGAATTTACTTAGTATCTATAAATAGCTATAGGTACAGATCGGTATTACCTACTAGGGAGTTGTGCCCACTACATGGGAAATATTGAAGGAACTATTAAAATGGCTTATTGCTTATCTTCTATCTACGTTTCATTCAATTTACGCGTCTTATGTTTTTGCGTGGTTAGGGCGAAATGCCCGCACGTAGGCGTCCCACCAGCTCCGAATTATTTTTGTCCTTTAACATTTCAAATAGAACCTCTGTATTTACCAACAACATGAGTTCATAGCAAGATCTAGAAGCAGGGCTCTTTCTAGACTCTTGGCCGCCTGCGTGACGAAATGAAATTACCGCCCCTTGGCCCTTTTTCCAACTTTATACAATAATCAGTTAACTAATAATGCTTTATTTTATGCTATAATTTAAAAAGTAATGCACTAACAATAAATAAAAATTTCATTCACAAAAAAGGTAGGTATTTATAAATATGCAAAAACAGGAAAAGCACAAAACTAAAATTTCGCTTTCCTTTCATTAACACTAGCTTGAACCACTGCGCCCCTCTAAGAATGAGTAGATAAATCACTCAAAAGCGACTAACACATCTACTGCATGTGCATGCAGAAATTACAAAAAAGTGTAGAACTAGAGGATATATTGAAAGCATTTACCAGCAAAACAAAATTTTTGGATATATTTAATTTTTTAAACTTGCTTTTTTTACAATGCTCAATAGGAACAAAATTTTTGTAACTTTTGTATGTTCTAGTTCTTCATTCTTTTTTAAATAAAATATTAATGGTCTATGGCTATGGTTTTCTCAATCGAGTTAAGTATCTCTGAGTTGCTCAGTTGCATATAACTAGACATCTTCCGACACTTTTTAAAATTTTTTTCAAAACTTTTCTTTCAAAAATACATTATTTGATTGATTAAATAAACAGGTCACTTAAAAAACCCACTGTTTTTAATTCGTACACAATTTTGCATGGGAGGGACCTTTCAGACTCCATGGTCGCTGATTCCCCTCTCCCCCCCACCCCCCTACCGTTATTCACTACCGACGTCGCTGACTTTGAACCTTCGTGGTAGCAGGTAGAGTGTTAAAAAAAAAGAAATTTCCCTCAGTTCTACCAAAGAGTATGGTTACTCTTTGGTTCTACAAACGACAAAGGTTAAGTTGCCGTGCGTTTATACATGATATGAATTGGATGTTTGGATTGGAATATGTGGGCCGGTGACCACAAAATAAGTAAGGCATTTCTGCGTTCAAATGGGTTATTTTGACGATTTCAACCCTTCAATTTTGATTTTTGCACTTGGATAATATGGTCGTAGCAGCACACGTGGAAATCAACATGCCATGGTCACCAACGTATACTTTTAACTGAGTGTAGGTAAGCTGTAAGCCCACTCGTTGATTTTTGTTTGTTTGAAATACCTACAGGATCCCTCTTTGTCATTATTTTTGTTGTGGAATTGAGATTATTTATTACATATTGGTAACTTTTGTACAAATCACACTACCCACGCTATAGGTATGTGTAGTACGTGTGCATAAGATTTTGGATGGCTGCCAGAAGTTTCCATTAGGTACATACATTCATAATCCTACTCTTTGAATAAATTAAGTGCACTTACATCGTCACCTACGTAAAGCGTAGTATACCTAATTACATCCCACTTATTTAGTTTTACTTCCCTTTGAACAACCGTTATTAATAAGGTTGATACCTATCTAAATTGTAATTCTATTGAAAATGTAAAGCGCTTACTGTATTGTAATGCCGCTAAAGGTCAAAGCTTTTACAAATTTTAAGCGTTCCTATTATAGCTAGGTTTAATATACGCCTATTCTCTAATGTCAGATTAATTGATCGGCGGCAATTGATTTAAGTACGTATGTGAGCTTTTAGTTAGTGGTGGGATTTCTTAATTTATTTCATTCGGAAAAAAAGCTCGCAAATTGGGTTTTGTGCGTTGTTCCAATTCCAATAATAGCTAGCGTTGGAGCAATTCCGTATGGTCCCGTATGTTGTTATTATAAGTTGTTCTTTACATTGATAGAGAAGAATTGACTATTTACAGTGAGGAAATTTGTTTTACTTGAAAAAGATACATATCTTCTCTTAGGTTAAACTTTTAAATCGGTTGTTCCCTCTTTGCTCAAAAACCCACTGATCAAGGCAGGAAAATGATAAAATACATGCCCTTTCATCGAGTTTTGGCGGATGAAGAGATTTGCTTCGCGACCCCTTGGGTTAATTCGCCAGTTGTGTTGTTTATCATGAAGGAGTCGTAATGTAGTGATCCTTCTAGAACATTCTTGAGAGATTCATAGAGGATTCGTCACCGGCAACAATGCTGGTGCGAACTCTTTCTGTGTTTTAAAAAAATTGCTACAGAATAAGTATTTCAAACCAAAGGCATTCTTAGGCAACACAAGAAAGTACTTAGTAGTGGCCGCTTTTGCATTCTAGTCTCGGATGACTCAACTAATATCAGACAGAATTTTTTTACTAAACAAGATCGTGAAATTAAATGGCGGTTTTTAGAATGGAACAGCTGAGAAATATTTTATATGGCTGCGGCCCCACGTTGGGCGCCAAATAAATTCAAGTAGGTATCGCACTTTCATCCACGGTAAACTTCTTCCAGTATTTAGAAATAGTGCGCTAATTACAATTAGAGTCGCCGGCGGCCAAGAAACGCGCTTGGAATCCCCTCTTTTTTCTCTCGAGACGTGCACACGTGCATTATTTTGTCTTTATCTTTCGTCTGATATCAAAAAGTCCTTATCGCAAATGACCAGATGTTTCTACATTTTAACACGCAATTTCACATTTTACAATTAAATACACAGTAACACTCTGTGCTTGGGCGTAAATAATCTCCCCGATTCAATTTAAGAAATTTAAAATGTTTCTTCTATACAGGATGTCGCGTCATTTTCGGTATTTAGACCTAAATAACGTCTACAAAACGTTGTTTACACAACATTCCCCCCCTTAAATTTACTAACTTTAAATAGATCGGGATTTGCCTTAAACATCCATACACGTCTAAAAACAATTCCCTAGTTAAATACCAAGATCTCGCATTTTACCATCAACCAGATCATCATCCCTAATCTTTTTCCTAACCTCTTCCCATTCATATTTTAATTTTCCTTCCCCCATATCTAACTTTACCCCGCATCTTTCCAGAGAAATTCCAAACATTAAAATAGGGTGTTTCTCCGTTACTAAAATGCATTCACTATACTCTTTCCATCTTTAACTAAACCACTCAAATAATTAATTGCTAGAATTTGTAAAGGCTCACTAGCCTAACTCCGAATATTCTTATCCTTTCCTAAGCTAGGCGAAATAATGACATTCACCATTACTTGTACTCTCAAATCCCTTTTACAATAAAAATTCTCCCTCATTCGGTTGCCTAAAATCTCATATAAGCTTTTCATAACTCTTTCCCCCCTATTCCTGTCCTTGCTAAAACACCAGCGATTAACTTATTTTAGCGCATTTTAAGAATTAAAAAAATGTGCTATTGTTTGCATTTTGTCCGTCCGTCCGTCCGTTCGTCCGGACCAACTCCTGCCATTTTGAACTACTTCTAGGGGAATGGTCCTACTTTAGAAAGTGGGGGGGGGG